GGGGGAGGGAGCTGGGGGGTGCTGCGAGGCGCCGGGCTGGGGGTGATGCCGGCTGGGTGCTGCTGCGATGAAATGCCCGTCGGGATCCTGGTGCGAGGCCGGGGCGGGATGTGCCAGCACCGTGGGGCTGGTGCTGGGAGCGTCACCCCTGGATGGAGCCCACGGCACTGCAGCACCCACCATGGGGCACCGGGGGCCGTTCGGGTGCCCCCTGACAGCTTTCGTGGGGTGGCAGAAGCAGCCGAGTGGGCAGAGCATTGCCTGCACTGGGGGGGGGACCACCACCACGTTCCCCCCCCAGCGTGGGCTCCAACCCTGACCAGCTCACCCCCAGCACCCGGTCTCCAATGTGCCCACCAGTCCTCACCCCTCTGTCCCAGCACCCCCAGACCTCCCCTCCTGTCGTCCCCCCCCCGGCTCATTAGCCTCTGCTGTTAATTGGTGAGGAGGCAACTGGGAGGTTGCTGGTAGGGTCTGGGGGGCCGGGGGTCTGGAGCCGGCTGCCCCTCAGCAGTGGGGGGCTCAGGACATGGTGAGCGGGGGGCTCCGGGACAAGGATGGGATGGGACGGGGTGGGATGTCCCACCCAGGGGCAGCCACATCGCACCGGGGCTGAGCAGTGCTGGGGGGGGGTCTCATCCGCACCCCAAGTTCCCCACATTCCCCCCCCCCGGGATGGTGCTGAGCCCCAGCCCCGCAGCCGCTCGTGGGGGCTGCCACATGCGGGGCCGGATCCTGCACCAGGGCTCAGCTCCGACATTGCCACCCCCATCCCGCTGCGGGTGCCCCACGGAGGGGGGGGCAAGGCTGCACCTGGGCCACTGCTGTGATGAGCTGCAGGGTCTCAGCCGTGGGGGGACCACAGCGGTGGCAGCCCTTCACCCATCTCTGGCGGGGGGGGGCATCCCCCGGGAAGGGGAGGCCGGGGGATCCCGGGGGGGATTTACATCCCCTCCCGGCTGTCGTCCCCCCCGCGCTAGCGGGGGCCCGGTTGCGGGGCCGTCCGTCACGGCATGCCGGCGCCTGCCGAGATGGATGGCTGCGGGCCGGCCCGGATTAATTCTCTGGACAAGCGGCATTTATTACGGATGCAGAGGATGTCAGGCGGAGAAATCCATCCCGGCCGGGCGGCAATTAGGCGGCTGGCCGGGGCACGGGGGTCCTGCTCGCCCCCCCGCCACCTGCCCGGGCCCCCCGCGCCAGCACCCCGGGTCCCCCCGCCTCATGGGTCCCCCCCAGCCTCGCCGTGGGGTGCCGGGGGTCCCCCCCCTGCGGTGCTGCCCCCCGCACCGGCGGGGCTGGGGGCTCATTGCAGATTCGCCTCATGCCCACCTGAGCCGGGCGCTGACAAATAGACATTTAAATCAGACAATTAGCTGGCCTCCACCGCTGACATTTTTAATGTATTAATGTGCATCAACAGCTAATACATATAAAATTCCCCTAATAACAGCACTTGGGTACCGGGGCCGTGCCGCAGCCGGCGCTGGCAGTGATGTACGAGTCCGGAGGGACTCCGGCCCCGGCGTTTGCATTAATTACCAGCAAACTGACAAGGCAGCGTGACACGCGGGAAGGCGCCGGATGCCTTCAAACAGCCCCGCGGCCCGTTTTTTTCCAAGCCCTGGCGTGTGAGCGTGTGTGCGGCGCAGCCGGGCGTGCGGAGGGGTGTGCGGTGCAGCCGCGTGTGCGCAGGCCGGTGGCGCCGCGTTTGTGTGCACACGCGTGTGTCCCGTGTCCCTGCGTGTGGGGACACGCTGGTTGGGCTGTGGCGGGTGGGTGTTGGGGTGGGGGAGTGCTTCGTGTTCCTGCTGGGAGAGGGGGGGGTACGTCGGGGCAGGCGTGTGCGTCAGGACACACGTGTGCATCAGGGCACGCGTGTGTATTGGGATATGCATGTGCATCGGGACATGCATGTGCATCAGGGCACATGTGCATGAGGACACACATGTGCATCAGGACATGCGTGTGCATCAGGGCACATGTGCATGAGGACACACATGGGCATCAGGACACGCGTGTGTCCCCAGCGCTGTGCACAGCCACGCACGGGGACTGGAGGGATGGCTCGAGGCCGAGGACCCTCCGACCCCACTGCCTGCAGGGAGGGGTAAGCAGGATGCGGCCCCCGCCGTGGTCCCTGCATGTCCCCAGCTGTGGTCCCCGTGCGCCCGGCCGGTGACAGATGCTTCAATTCGCAGGAAGGCTCCGAAAATCGATGCCTTAAACGCTGGTGGCCGGGGCTGATCAATGCCGCCAATTACGCCCGCAAACAGGTGCTCGTGGGGGGCCGGGGAGCCCCCCATGACCACCCCACCCCGGGCTGGGGCACCCCAAGACGCCCTAGGGGTTCCTCTGCAGCCCCCCAGCTCCGCATGTCGGGGGGCACCCAGGGAAACTGAGGCTGCTGTGGGGGGCTCCGGCCCCCCCCTCGCCCCATCGACCACCGGCCCCTCTTGCCAAAGGCAGATTTGACATTTTTAAATCTAGATACTTAAAGGAATCGATCAGGATGCGAGACCCCTGCCCCCCCACCCCCATATCGATCCTGCCCTGAAGCGGGGGGGCACGGCACCGCAGCCCCCCACCAGCCTGGGGGAGTCCTGGGGAGGGGGGGGGTCCGGTGAGGAGTCCCAGCACCCACCCAAGCCAGGGTGCCCCCCCACCCCCATTCAGGCTGGCGGGGCTGGTCCCCCCCCCCCCGGCACAGGGCTTGGGGGCAGCGGAGCGTGGGCTGGGGTCCGCTGGGACCCGCTGTCAGGGAGGCAGCCAGGCGCGGGGTGGGCAGCGCAGGGGGGGCCGCTGTCAGCCTGCACTGACGAGCAGCCGAGCTGGGGTGGGGGGGGCCACCAGCATCCCCCACACCCCACTGGCATCCTAGGGGGGGTCCCCAGGGACACAGCCATCCTGGACTCTCAGCTCCCCCCCCCAAAACAGAGCTTTGCCCCATTGCACCCCTAAAACCCAGGGAGGGGTCCCCATCCAGCCCCAGGGCCGCAGCGAGCGGGGGGCGATGCACCCCCAAAACCCGTCTGGCCGCAGCACCTGGGGGAGTGCTGAGCTGGGGGGGGTGGCTTGCAGCCCCTCAGGCCCTGCTAACGGGGGCTGAGCCCCCTGCACAGGGCAGCTGCGGGGCTGTTAATAATGGATGAGACCAAATTGGCGGCCGGCAGCCGGTTAATCCCTGCAAACACGGCGGCGGCGGCGTGGGCTGAGCAAACAGGGGCTGCGGAGAGTCCCGGGGGGGCCCCTGCACCGGGTGGGGGGGGTGTTTTGCATCCGCCATGCAGCAGGTACCCCAATACCAGGCACCATGGCATGCCGGGGCCGGCTGCACCTTGGGAGGGGGTACAGGGTTGGGGGTGCCAGTGTGGGGCACCCCGTCCGCCCCCCAGCTCCGCGCACCGGCGTGGCGATGCCGACGCCGTGCCCTTTGCCCGGTGTCGTGCCGGGGCAAAGTCTGGTGGGGGGAGCGGTGTTGCCGGGAGCTCCGCAGGGAGAGGTGGGTCAGGGTGGGCTGCAGCCCCGCCGGCACGGGGTCTGGAGGCTGAGGGGGTGCACCGGCCCCAGGTGGGCTCACGGGACCATGGGTGGGCTCACAGGGTGCTGGATGGGCTCAGAGGACCCTGGGTGGGCATGCAGGACCCTAGGTGGGCATGCAGGGTGCTGGGTGGGCACGCAGGGTGCTGGGTGGGCACGCACCAGCCCTGGGTGGGCACATGGCAGCTGGGTGGGCATGCAATAGCTCTGGGTGGGCACGTGGGACCCCGGCTGGGCATGCACTGGCCATGGGTGGGCATGCAGGTCACTGGAGGGGTCTGGCACGATGGGGGGACAGCACGACCTGGGGTCCCTGACTGCACTGTCCGTCCCGCAGGGTGCCGGATGCCGGGGCTGTGCTGATGCCCGCCGGGGCGGTGACCCCCAGGGCAGCCCCACCGAGCCGGTTGCTGCAGCCGGGGGGAGGATGGCCAAGCGGCTGCTGGTGGCTTACGGGCTGTGGGTGCTGGGGGGGCCGCTGGGGCTGCACCACATCTACCTGGGCCGGGACAGCCATGCGCTGCTTTGGATGCTGACGCTGGGCGGCTTCGGCGGAGGATGGCTCTGGGACTTCTGGCACCTCCCCGGCTGGGTCGCCGCCGCCAATGGGACCGGGGTGCCCGGGGACCGTGGCAGGACCGTGCCGGCCCTTAGCCCCCTGCGCCTGGCGGGGCAGGTGATGGTGGGGATATATTTCGGGCTGGTGGCGGCACTGGGGCTGCCCTGGGTGCCGGCGCTGCTGGCGCAGCCCCTGGCTGTGGGGCTGGGGGTGCAGCTGGTCTCTTCGGTGGGTGACCAGACGGCGGAGGCACCCAGAATCCTGGCCGCAGCCTTCCTTGCCTCCCTCCTCTTCCAGGGCCGGGTGCTGGCGGTGCTGCCCGCCAGCCTGGCCGCCAGCATCACCGCTCAGCGGCACCGGCGCTACAAGCTCCGTGGGATGCCGCGGCCCCGGCTGGCCGCCCGGCTCTACCACCTGGGGCTGGCGTGCCTGGCCTTCGCCGCCCCGCTCGCCTGTCGCGGGGTCTTCGGCGCCGTCGGGGTGCTGGGCACCCTCTCGGCCCTGCTCCGTGCCGCCACCGAGCTCCCGCTCCTGCCCTTCCGTGCCAGCTGGCTCCTGGCAGAGGTCCTGGGCTTCGCTGGTGGCTCTCCGGCGCGGGAGCACGGCGCCAGCTTCGAACCGAGCAGCTGGAGCGAGCGGCAGCAGCGGGCGTATGAGGTGCAGGATGCAGCGCTGGGTACCCGGGCTGGAGGGGGGATGCCATGGTGGGATGTTGTGCTGGGGGGATCCACGGGATTTGGCTGTTCCCATGCCGTGGAGGGGGAAAACACCCTTTTTGGGGTCCCTTCCAGCTGCTGAAGGTACATGCAGCCCCATGCATGGCCCTGGGGGGGGGGGCAGCCGGGTCCCCACAGCCCACCCCAGCTCATCCCTCTCGTCCCTAGGTCCTGGGCCTCCCGGCTGGCTCCTCTACCGAAGACGTGCACCGGAGCTACCGGGAGCTGGTAAAGGTTTGGCACCCGGACCACAACCGGCACCGGGCCGAAGAGGCCGAGAGACGCTTCATCGAGCTGCAGGAGGCCTACGAGGAGCTGGCGGGGCCCAGGAGAGCAGCGGCGGGGTGACACCACCGGCAGCCCCCGCCATGCCGGGGGACCGAGAACCGTGGGGGGGGGCGTTTGTAAACACGGAGGTTTCCCTCCCGCTGCTGCTGCTTCGTTCCTTCGCTCGAACCTTGCAGCGCGTGGCGGCAGGGACCGCAAAGCAGAGCAAAGCGTGCGTGGGGTCGGTGATAAACCGTTGCCCAGGGATGGCTGCGGAGCAATGGAGGGGGGCTTGGGCGAACTGTTGCATGGGGGCTTGGGTGAAGAACTGTTGCACATCGGCTTGTGCAAACCAAGATCTGCGTGGACCATTGGACGAAGAACCCTTCCACGGGTGGCAGCCCCAGTGCCCCCCGGGGGTGAAGCGGGGCGGGGGGCGGTTAGGGCGGAGCGGGGACGCGAACCCGCGGACTCCTGAGCTCAGCCACCTTCCCCCCCCCGTCGCTCCTCATCTTCGCCTTTTCCCGGAGGGCACTCGGGTGTTTCCGCTACAGGGCGGTGGCTCTCGGCAGTTTCCGTCCACGTTCGGCACCCGCCGCCCCGCCCCGTTCCGCCCATCGTGGGGGCGGGGAGGCGGGGCTTCGGCATTGCCGGATCCAATTGGCTCTCGGCGGAGAGTGGTCACGCCCTTCTCGCGCGCCGGAGGCGGGAGAGGGCGGGGCCTTCGCAGTCGAGTCGGCTGGGCCGCTTCGCCATTGGCTGGCGGGATGCCTCCCTCCTCGCCCCGCGCCGCGTCCCCGCGCGCCCGGGCGCTCCGCTCTGCTCCCTCATTGGCCAGAAGCGCTCGGCCCGGCCCCCGCGTCGCACCTGAATGGCTGGAAGAGAAGGAGGGCGGGCCGAACCGGGCCTTCCCCGCCCTTTCATTGGCGGAGTCCTCCAGGAGGGCGGGCGCGCTGCGGCGTTTCCGCGCCACCATTGGCTACCGAGCGGTGAACGCGTCCCGATTGGCTGACGCGGCCCTGAGGGCTCCTGCCGGGCCGCGGCCCCCCGCCCCCCTCCCCGGTGCATCGCGGCGGCCTGAGGTGA